TCAGCTTCATACTATTGCAGTTGATCCTCTAAAACATTCTTGAGGTCATTGGCATCAAATCATGAGCACAATCGAATTTGCATTAGTTCCCATCAGGCTCTGAGTTTTTGATTAGCTTGATTTAGCCATTCTGCAATGTGCACATATTATGAGTCTTTGAAATCTCCACCAGTAGCAATGGTGGAAATATACAGAAATTGGAGTCTGACTGCCTCAGACTCCATTGTTTATGGACTATGTGAACTTGGAGCAATTTATTTAACCTCTTGGAATTCATTATTCTCATCTGTTAAATGGGAATAATAATAGTATATTTCCAACAGGATTATAAGATATAAATGAGTTTTATATGATTAAAATATATCCAAATTGGTAAATATTCGATCCATAGCTGAGGGCAGTGGCACATGCCTGTAATATCTCAGAGACTTGGGAAACTGAGGCAGGAGGATCACAAGTTCCAGGCTGGTCAGGGAAACTTAGTGAGACCTATCTTGAAGAAAAAATAAAAAATACTGGGGCTGTAGCTGTAGCTAAGTGGTAGAGCGGCTGCCTTGCAAGTGTGAGGCCCTGGGTTCGATCCTTAACACCACATAAAAGCAAATAAACAAATAAAGATATTGTGTCCATCTACAACTAAACAAATATTAAAAAAAAAAAAAAAAGTACTGGGGATGTAGCTCAGTGATAGAAGACCCCTGGATTCAATTCCCAGTATTGAAAAAAAATTCAATCCTAGCTTTTTTTGCTATTATTATTAAAAAGAAAACAATGAGGGATATATATTGGGAAGATGTTGATTAAAGTATATAAAATCGCAGGAAGAATAAGTTCAAGAGATCTAATGTACAACGTGATTATAGTTAAATAACCATGTACTGTACACTTGAAAATTGCTGACAGTAGAATTTACGTGTTCTCATCACCAATAAATGATAACTAGTGCATAAGTAATGCAAGGTGTTATATATATGCTATTTGGCTTGATTTAGCCATTCCACAATGTGCACATATTATGAAACACTGTGCTGCACATCATAAATATGTATAATTTTAAGTGTTAATTATAAAATAAAATATGAACTAGGACTGAGCATGATGGCACACACTTAAAATCCCAGCAATTTGAGAGATTGAAACAAGAGGATCTCTAAGTTCGGGGACAGACTGGGCAATTTAGCAAGGCCTCAGCAACTTAGTGAGACTCTGTCTAAAAAATAAAAAGGGTGGAGGGGCTGGGGATATAGCTCAGTTGGTAGAGTGCTTGCCTTGCACGCACAAGGTCCTGGGTTCAGTCCCCAGCACCACACACACACAAAAAAAGTAGAGATGTAGTTCAATGGTTAAGTGCCCTTGGGCTCAGTCCTTAGTATAAAAATAAAAAATTAAAAAATTATAAAAAAAGAAGGGAAGAAAAAAAGGAAATATGAAATGTGGATGCAGTTGGGTTCAATCCCCAGCACAGGGCACAAGAGACAGAAAAGCACCCACCAGTGGTACATGCCTATAATCTCACTTATCCTGGAAGCTGAAGCAGGAGATTCACCATATATTAAGTACTGTCCTAGAAATTGAACCCAGGGCACTCTACCACTGAATTATATCTCAGCACTTTTATTTTTTATTTAAAAACATTTTTATAAAAACATGTTATACATGGACACAATATTTTTATTTTGTTTATTTATTTTTATGGGGTGCTGAGGATTGAACCCAGTGCCTCACATGTGCAAAGCAAGTGCTCTATCGCTAAGCCACAACCCCAGCCCCTCTTTTGTTTTTATTTTTTTGAGATAGGGTCTTGCTAAATTGTCCAGACTGACTTCAGACTTTCAATTCTCCTGACTCAGCCTCCTGAGTCATTGGAATTATAGGCATACACCACCACACCTGGCTCGAATCTGCACTTTTAAACAAATGCCCCAGATGATTCGGAATCAGGTGGTCTTGGGAAAACATGCCCTAGGACATCCTGGGGGGTCTGAGTGTTAACTTCATTCATGGTCAACCAGTTTCCAAGAGAATCATGCTGACATTACTGTGCCTATTTAATGTGAATCAGTCTTTATTTTGCACTGGTGTGGTGCATTAACAAATTCAACATACAAGATAGCATTACATATTGTAGGTTAGCGTTACAGCATTATGCAATTTCACACAATTCATGTTAGCTTTTCATTTGTTTTTTTGTTTTTTTAATTTGACACATTTTATTTTTGTTTCATTTTTACAAGAGAAGACACAAGGTAAAGAAAGACGACCACTTTGGAGAGGGATCATGGTGAGGGCAATGTCACTGTCATGGCCATAGTAAAAGCCTTCCAAAAGGGACTTGCATTTTCCCTCTCCTGAGCAAGCCACCCCTGTCCCACAAACCAGCTCTGTTCTCATACCTAGAGCACAGTCCATCAACATGTACATCTTGGCTGTGCTCCTCTGAGAACTGAAATAAGGAATAACTCATACAGGGATTTCTGTTATTATGAAAAACTCTTGTCTCAAGGGAATCAAGATATACAGACAGAAGGACTGGCTCTTGGAAAATCAGAAGTGACCATTCCCTAACCTATTCCTGACCACGAGTGCTTTGTGCAAAAGGTAGGATGTGACTCTCTTGTCTTTCAACTGACTCCACCCTTCCCAGTTAGCTCTGGAAAGAACAAATTTGAAAACCAAAGTTAGCTAAGAAACTTTGGGACAGCAAAATGCAGGGCACGATGGATCAGGCCTGAGGTAGGAGGGGGGAACCCTGTACTGTCCACCTCTTCGCCTTTTTCTGGCAAAGACACGGAGGCAGCTCCTAGCCTACCACTGGTTCCTCCCCTGGCACCTCACCATCCACTGCTCCGTAGACCCAAAGAATGAAAGGTATAAAGCTACAAGGAGGTGGGGGAGAGAGGAGTGGGGTGAGGTTGTCTTCCCAGACTGACGTCAGGAGGAGCTACAGAGGCACACAGAGCAGGGCAAAGACCAGACTACCTCCACCTGTTGCTTTGCATTGTTTCTGGGAAGGAAACAAAAGCGGGTTGCTTAGCGATTTCTGATCTTTAGACATTAAGGCGATGAAGAGGAACCATTTAAAAGTTTTCCTAATGGGGCTTCAGAGTGCTCCTGCCAAATTTACATTAAACTATCTTGAAATGCATTTTTAGAAAACAAAAATTATTTTCTTCTACGTATGATACAGTATTTACACTCTATAGATTAAAGGACAGAGACTAGTAGTGCGTGACCCCAAATGATGATGAATGAGATAGTGAGTTGGATTATGGGGACCGGAGGGGGAATGTCAGGAATACAAACAGAGAGTGGGCTTTGTGCCTGCACAGAACTGCTCTGCATTGTCAAGAAATATGGGTTCAAAGAAAAACCAAACAAAAGAACTGGAGTGTGTGGGGGATACAGATGGGATTTAAATCCACTAGAGCTAAGGGAACAACAAAGGCAATGTTACCATACCACCCTGTCCATGCAGACTCAACTCTTGTATTCCCTTCTCAGAAGCAAGTTGGAAAGGAAGGATCTTGTGGATTGAAGTGGACAATCCAATCTCGGTTACTCTTTCAGGCCCTTAATCAAGCTGTTGTTTATTTGATTGCGTTCCTCTTCAGACTGAAAAAAAATCTGTACTGCCTGTACAAGCTCACCTGTGGGTAATGAGGCCTCTGCCATATGAAAAGTCTCAACTGTGGAGACAAGGCTACACTAGGAGTGAGGAGTCCTGAATTCGAATTCCAGCACAACACTGAATCTCTCAACCTGTTCTGCCCAGTGTTTCCCTCATCCCTTTACCATGTCATGAGACTCAGAAGTTCCAAGAATGATGCACTTTGTTTTGAGGGAAAAGAGGTTCTGAAAACATTCAGGTTACTTTTCTTTTTATCTTGCGGTCCTAAGAATGGAACCCAGGGACTCTACCACTGAGCTACATCCTACCCCTTTTTATTTTTATTCATTTATATATATATAATTATTTTTTTTTTTGTGGTGCTGGGGATTGAACCCAGGGCCTTATGCATGTGAGGCAAGCACTCTACCAACTGAGCCATATCCCCAGCCCTTTTATTTTTTATTTTGAGACAGGGTTTTGCTAAGTTGCCCAGGTTGGTCTCTAACTTGCAATCCTCCTGCCTCTGCCTCCAGAGTTGGCACCACTATGCCCACCCCAAGTTACCATTACTACTCAGCCACACTGTTATTTTTTAAGAGCTATTATTGAAAATTTCAAGGAGAAATAATCATTTCTGAGGGCCTTTCATGAAGCAAAACTTACTTCATTGTAACATCTGAGTCAACTGAGAAGATTCTTATTCTCCATGGTCAGCCTTCCTGGAAAAACAAAGGCCGATGTAATCCTTCCAACCTCTGAGGACTTCCAACCCATCAGCTAAGGAATGGCTGTCACTACCGGATATAACTACCAAAGGGGATGGAGGTCCTCTCATTTCTCTCCTCCTTGTCCTCATACCTGCAAATAACATTTGGAATCATCTGGATGAGTTCACTGGTATTCTCCTAGAGCTGAATTTGAAGCCTCCAAAGCTCATTTTAAAGAAATTGTCTAGTTTTGTAAATCCAACTTCTTCCTGGTAAGTCTGATGAGTTTTATGTGCTTTGCTGGGGCTACCAGTGAGTCATAGACTACCAACTACCCCTTCAGAGCAGGAAGATTAACAGCAAAAATACCCCCCTGCTCAATTACTCCTTCCCTTGCAAACCCTGCCTTTTCACTCAACCTTTGTTTCTTGGCTTACTATAGACCTCTGGATCTTGGTCTCAGCCAAAGAGCAGAGACGTGAGAGGTAACAGGGAGAAAAGATGGAGATAGTGAAAACATGAGGCTTTACAAGAGCAAAAATTTGTTTTCTGCCAAGGTGGGGAGAAGGACTAACTCTCCAGAGAAGCCCAGTAAAAAGAGGCCAATTTCAGGTAATCAGCAAATACGATTCGGCACAAAACACAATTTTCATGGATTAAAATCTGCAACTTGATATTGGCAATTAGGCTAATTTCTTCAGTTTGTATTAGACATGCAAGTATAAGGTTACAGTGTTATATATAGACTTGTAGGGGTCTTTCCCTCTCTTTCCCCGCCCCATTTAAAAAACAAAAGAATTTCTAGTGCCTTGCAAAGGAGAAAAAAAATCGTCTTTGCTAAGAACTGATCTGCGGCTGTGGTGATGTGGGATGTTCCTTGGTTTGTTTTGTAAGAAATTTTTTTCTACAACTAAAATGAGGTTTTGAGTCCGCTTCTCTGACATCTCTCCCCACCACGTCCCTCCCCAGCCTGGCCCCAGGGTTAGAGGAGAGAAGAACAGGATTAGTACTCGCTCAGACTGTGCCACTTGGCTACAGGCTTGCGGGGACTCTCGCAAACCTCTCTCCAGTGCTCGGCACCACTGCTTGTGACACTGTGTGCCCCCAGGATCAGCCTCCCCACCACCTCGTTCTTGGTGGTGCGATCGAAGTCGATGACGAGGAACTCGATGCTGATGTCAGGCAGGAGGTCGGTTGGGATGTCATAGATGAAAGACTCATTGAAGATGGGGTTCAAAGTGCACTTCTTTACATGGGTTTTCTTCTTGGCAATGCGCTTTCTGCCGTAGTAGACGTTCACCTTGACATAAGGATCTGGGGCCCCCAAGGAGACAAGAAAAAGAGAGACAAGCCTATGACACGGTCCTCTCTTATATAACGATCATTTCATGTTGGGACTCTGCTACTCAGAGCTTTGGTGACCACCCCAACAAAGTCTCCAGGGACTGCTTCCTAAATGTACACACACTACACGTGAGTCTGTCCGCTTGATAGAGGGCCAAGAAAACCAACAGGAGCAGAACAGATCAACTTCCTTCATCAGGACTGAAGCAAGCATTTTCTTTCTCTTTTTTGTCACACTAGGGATTTTACCTAGGAGTGGTCTTTCACTGAGCTACATCGCCAGCAAAACTTTTATTTATTTTTATTTTTTATTTTTGGTACTGGGGATGGAACCCAGGAGCACTTTACCACTGACTACATCTCCAGTCTTTTTATTCTTTATTTTGAGAAGGATCTTCTTAAGTTGCTGAGGGCCTCACCAACTTACAGAGGTTGGTCTTAATTTACAATCTTTCTGCATCACCCCCCTTATTTTTATTTATTTATGTTTTATTTTGCTAAATTGCAGAGGCTGGCCTTGAACTTACAATTCTCCTATCTCATCTTCCAAAGTCACTGGGATTATAAGCATATGCCACCAAGCCCAGTTAACAAAGAAGCAGTTTTTTAAAAATATATTTTTAGTTGTAAATGGACACAATACCTTTATTTAATTATTTTTATGTGGCTCACATGTGCTAGGCAAGTGCTCCAACACTGAGCTACAAACCCAGCCCTTTTTTTTTCCCTGAAGTTAAATATTTTGTTTTTAATTTTGTTGCAAAGCTGTTGCTTCAGTGTATAAAGATAACACCACATGAAGGCATTTATAAAGTTGTTCTTCTGATACTGTACAATAAACACTTTCCTCCACTCCCAGTTATTACCAATGGAAAAGTCATTAAGTATGTTGACCTAAATCAATGGGTCAATGGTTGTAAGGAACTTACAATATTATCAATATTATATAAGACTTACAACAAGTTTATCCTTAAATTGCATAATTTTTTTTTTGGTACCAGGGATTGAACTCAGGGGCACTTAACCACTTGAGCCACATCCCTAGCCCTTTTTCTTTCTTTTTTTTTTAATGTTTGATGATTGTCCTTTATTTTATTTATTTATTTATTTATTTATATGTGGTGCCGAGACTTGCCTCACGCATGCCAGGCAAGTGCGCTACCGCTGAGCCATAACCCCAGCCCTGTTGTTTTTGCTTTTGAGACAGGATCTCACTAAGTTGCTTAGGGTCTCACTACATTGTTGAGGCTGGCTTCAAACTTGCAATTCTCCTGCCTCAGCCTCCCAAGCCACTAGGATTACAGTTATGCACCACCATACCCAGTGAATTACATGATTTTTTTTTTTTTTAAGATTTTTTTTTAGTTGTTGACAGACCTTTATTTTTATTTATTTTTATGCGGTGCTGAGAATCGAACCCAGTGCTTCACACATGCCAGGCAAGTACTGTACCACTGAGCCCCAGCCCCTACATGATTTTTATAAGTATAATTTAATGAATTTACCACAGATAATTTAATGAATTCTGAATACCACAGCCTAAAGTCCACTCTAATAATCATAAGGTATTGTAAAAAAGATATAAATTGTGTTTATGCAATCATTGGGAAGTTAAGGGGTATTTTCTTCCTGTATCAGGAAGTTTTCGAGAGCATGGGGACTAACAATGACTGTAGTCCTTTTGAGAAGTTATGACTTCTGGAGCAATGCTCAGCTCCTGGCCTGCAGACCTTTTAGGATGCCTAGTGAAATGTAAATACCTCCTTTGTTCACCCAAAGCACTTCCCCACCTATTGGACATAAAGACAGAGGCAAGGGCTCCTGAAATGTGGGGTATGTCTGGGCCACAGGCAAGGACTGTGGGGTGGTTCAGACGGTCACACGTAGGTTGAAGTAAATAGCTGCTACCTGAGAGACCGGTGATATCCATCTTCGGCAAGTGTCTGGCTTTGAGGACCACCACTGTCATTCTCTGTGCCACCGGCTGATATGACAGAGACACCTGGAGCTCCCCTCTACTAATGCACTTCTGTAAGAGAGAAAGAGCAAGTGAGAATCCAGAAGGAGGGAGCAGGGCATGGCACAGAAATTGTGGCAGAGGAGTGGAAAGAGAAGCAGGGGTGAACAGGAAAGATGTTCATTCTCTGAGAGGAAGTTATGATCCTATTTAACACAGGGGAAAGGAAGCAGAATCTCTTCTGAAATTAAGTATGATCCTTGGCATGGAAGAGCAGCATAGCCTCACAGTTAGGAGCATGGACTCCGAGGCCAGAGTGGCCTGGTTTCAGAGTTAGACTGCTCTTTCTTTTTTTTTAAATTTTTTTCACATCAGGGAAGTTGAGGCAAGTGCTATTTCATATCAACAACCTTGGATAAGTTACTCAACGTCTCTGTACTTTAGTTTTCTAATAATAATAATACCTACCTCATAGGATTATTAGGATCAAATGGGTTCAAATTTGGAAATCACAACACTGCCCAGCACTTAGTATTCTCTCATTTGATTCTAGGGATAAAATTAAGTTTTGCCATGTGCAGTGGTGCTGTCACCCCAGCAACCCGGGAGGATGAGGTAGGAGGATTGCAAGTTCAAAGCTAGACTCAGCAACTTAGTGAGACCCTGTCTCAAAATAAAAAACAAAAAAGGCCTCAGTGGTAGAGCACTTGCCTAGCATACACAAGGTCCTGGGTTCAATCCCCACACTGAAAAGGAAAAACAAAACTTTTTTTTAATTGGAGCTGGGTGTGTATCTCAGTGGTAGGGTGCAAGCTTAGTGTGCACAAGGCCTAGGTTCAGTCCTCATCACAGAAGGAAGAAAGAGAAAACAAAAAGTTTTGAAGACCTTGGTGAGGAGGTAGGAGATGTGGGTTTGAGTCTTTGCCACTTACCACGAGGCCATGGGCAAGGCCTTGAACTTTCTGAAGCTTATTCCTCCATTTTGCAAGGTGAATATCCATACCTGTTCTACCTGCCTCAGTGCGTGCACTTCAGTACCTTTTCCAAGATGCCCTTTTATCTGCCTCTTCATCTTTGTTCTTATGTCTTTTCATTTATTCTAGGCTGTATTCTGAATTCTGGGGAAAACTCTATGCTTTGAAGAACTTTTTTTAAAATTTATTTACCTTTTATTTTTGCAGTACTGGGGGTTGAACCCAGGAGTTCCTGAAGGCTAGGCAAACATTTTCTTACTTATATTCCATCCCAGACCTCCTTCCTCCGTCTCTATTTATCTATCAATCTATGCTAGGGATTGAACCCAAGGGTGCTTTACAACTGATCTACATCCCCAGTCCTTTTTATTCTTTATTTTATTTTTTATTTATTTATTTTTTTAAATTTTAATATTTATTTCTTAGTTCTCGGCAGACACAACATCTTTGTTTTGCATGTGGTGCTGAGGATCGAACCCGGGCCGCACACATGCCAGGTAATCGTGCTACCACTTGAGCCACATCCCCAGCCCTTTATTCTTTATTTTGAGAGACAGGGTCTTGCTAAGTTCCTTAGAGCCTCACTAAATTCCTGAGGCTGGCCTTGAACATGCAATCCTCTTGCATCAGCCTCCATAGTGACTGGATTAAAGGCATGCACCATCATGACCAACTGGCCTTTAACATTTGAACCACATTTGGATATTTACTACATGCTACATACTAGGAATTCAAAGCTGACAGGACTCAGTTCTTGTTCCCCACGAGTTTAGCATGCAAGACATAGAGATGCAAATATACGTGTACTTGTCAGAATAATAAGAAGTCTGTTCTAAGTGCTCTGGGTACTCAAGAAGAATGAGGCTGACACGGCTTGCAGAAGCAGAGTTGACTTTTCTAGCTGATATCTGGGCTGAGTTGATAGAGAATAAAAAAAAAATATATGAGGTAGCTTGGTGCAGTGGCACAAACCTGTGATTCCAGCGACTTAAGAGGCTGAGGCTGGAGGATCACAAGTTTGAGGCCAGCCTCAGCAATTTAGTGACACACTGGCTTAAAAAGTTTTCCAAAGGGCTGAGGGGTATAGTTCATACCCTGGATTCAACTCCCAGAACTAGGGAAAAAAATAAGTCTGAGGCAATGAACAGATGAGCAGAAAGATCGTGTACAGCCCAGCAACAGGGACCTAAAAGTGTATGCAATGTTCAGAGAATGGTGAGAGGTGAGGGTGTGTGAAGTTGGGGAGTTTGTCAGAAACCTGGGAGGGTGAGTGGGCGATGAACTGTAGGGACAAAATGGCAGTTTGCCACTCACAGGCAAGAGGAGGTCTGTAAGAATACAAGTAGCAATGCTGTTATTTTATTAAAATGACCATGACTTTAGAGACAGTTGGAGAATGAAGTAAAGTAGGGAAAGGTCAAAGTCAGAGGCACCTGTAATGGACAAGGAAACAGAAATGAGGCTGAGACAAGAAAAAAAGTAAAAAGGAGGAATTTAGGACAGAAGTTAAATGTGGGACAATATTATCTCCCTGTTATCAAACTGCATTCTTTGTATTCTTTCAGACCCCAAAGAACTGTCACCTACTCCAGGATTGCTTTGATTGAGTAAAATAGACTGGCTGCGTTCGGCGCCACACACCTATAATCACAGCGACCCTGGAGGCTGAGGCAGGAGGATTGGAAGTTAAAGGCCTGTCTGGGCAAGTTGGCCAAACCCTGCCTCAAAATAAAAAAGACTTGGGATATAGCTCAGAGGTAGAGTGCTCCTGGGCTCAATTTCTAGTACCCAAAAATAAAAAAATAGAGAGAGAGAGAGAGAGAGAGAGAGAGAAATAGCAACTTCCCAAGGGAGAAGAGCAGATAGATCAAAATCACTTCTAAAATTTCACTTATTGGTCAGCATCCAGATGCTGTGTCCAGTTTGCCTCAAACAAGCTGGACCACAGTACTAGACCCTTCATTATTACATCAGGAACCTGGGGAGTAATTAATTAATTCTCCAAAATGATGTGATCTTCCTCCACTGAACTTATTTCTCACTACTGAGAAACTCAAAAAACTAGTTCGGGTTGATATGGTTGTGGTTGTGCACACTGCTATTCCCAGTGAGTTGGAAGGATGAGGCGGGAGGAGTGCAAGTTCAAACCCAGCCTCAGCAACTTAGTGAGTACCTGTCTCAAAAGAAAAAATAAAAAGGGTTGGGGATGTAGCTCAATGGCTAACTAAGCACCCCTGGGATCTATCACCAGTACCAAAACAAAATAAAATAAAAACATAGTTGAGTAATTTTCTCTAAGATCCCTTTTCCCACCCCAAATGTAGGGGTATAAATAGTCTCATGTACCGGTCTTTTTATAAGTATTTTATACATCTGATTTAATGAATTACTTCACCCTTCCAGTCCCAACCCTTTGCCATATAGGCCTCCCCCTCTCCCTTCCTCCTTTCCCCATTTGCATCAGAAGGAGAATGAGAGCCTTTTCTCCCCCTCTTCCCAGGGGGCCAACATTGGCTTGGGTTAGCTGAGGAATATAGGAAGTGTCTCTATCCCATCCCACTAGCTCATGGGTCCTTTCTTTCATAACTGGGGAAGCAAACTAATGCTGTAGTTACACACTGGGCTTTCTCCAGAATTGCTTGCCTTCACTTTACAGCTCACTCCTTCCTCCTAGGTGACAATGGGTACATTACTCAACCCCTCTCAGCCTCTATTTTATTGTTATTATTGTTGTGTGTGTGTGTGTGTGTGTGTGTGTGTGGTACTGGATGCTGAACCCAGGGATGCTTTACCACTGAGCTACATCCCCAGTCCTTTTATTTATTTATTTAAACTTTGAGATAGTGTCTCACTAATTTGCTGAGACTGACCTAGAACTTGTGACTCTCCTGCCTCAACCTCCCAAGTTGCTGAAATTATCGGAGTGTGCCATTGTGTCTGGATACATTTTTTGGGGGGGGTCAGGAATTGAACGCAGGGGCACTTAACCACTGACCTGCATTTCCATTTCCAGCCCTTTTTGATATTTTATTTAGAGATAGGGTCTCACTGAGTTGCTTAAGGCCTTGCTCAATTGCTGAGGCTGGCTTTGGACTCATGATCCTCCTGCCTCAGACTCCTGAGCCATTGGGATGACAGGCATGTGCAATTACACCTGGCTGTCTAGCTGAAATTTTATAGAGAGAGTTTTACTCTTTTTTCAGGGTAAACGTAAGTGGATAATAGTGACGACTTTGAAATCAGACCGATTCTAAATCCAAATTCCACCAGCTAAACAACCTTGGGCAAGCTGTTTAATTTCTCTAAGCCTTAGTTTCTTAAAGGAATAAAGTAAAATGGGTGACTTTACATGCCACCTAGCACCTAGTAAGACTTCAGTAAATTGTGACCATTACTATTATATCTATTATTAACCAAGTTTGATACCTGGGAGCTATGTGTGGTTTGTAGATGTTAATATTTGGTTTTGACAAAGCAAAGAAAGATAAGGAAGCCTGAATCAGTGGAGAAGGAGGTTTAGAAAGGCCACTGAAAAACAACTGCACATCTTCTAGAAAGAGCCTTGCCTATAGATGCTGCACGACTCTCTTGGTGTCTTTTCCACCTGCAAGCCCACTCCAGACTCTGAGGAGAATCAGAGGGCTCGGAAATGGACAGAAGAATCTCCTAGACCAGCAGGGGTGGGGATGCAGTCAGTGTCCAGGAACGCTCGTCCACTGAAGACTCACACTGCACCAGGGGTATGGGTCAGGGAGCAGGAACATACCCTCTGGGTGTGTGTTCTTGCCTCTTTGCTGTGTAGTAGGCACCTGTCCCACTGCAGTCAAGTGGCCATGCCCAGAGAAACTGCTTCTGCCACCTGGCACACTCAGATCCAATCCCCAGGGGCCAGGGAAGTCCAAGAATTTGGAAGAAAGTTGGAGGCATTCAGTCAGAGCATAAAGGGGGTGCTGGTTCAATTCTAGGTTACAATGAGACATCCTAGAGCCAAACACTGCGAGATCCTTGCATCCTCTGAGGATGGAGTCAGAAGAATAGAGATGGAGAAAGTGTTTCATCCCCTTCTCTGCCTTCTTCTGACAACCCATCTCTTTTCCTCAGGCCTCTGTCACCCCTAGTCCCTTTTTGACACCCCTTTCAGCAGCTCTGCTGCTCCACTCCCTGTTTCATCTATCTTTCTCTCCTTGCAGGAGGATCCTTTCAACAGTGTAACCACGAACCTGGGAAAGCCACTGACCAGCCCGACTCCTCCGCACAGCTCATGCACTTGGCAGTCCAAGACTGTGAATGGAAGAGGATGGCTTCATGCCAGGCTGCCGCTGGGAAGAGACTGGCAAGGGAAGGGACTGATTTGGGCTGGGAACAAAACAGTCTCAAATCCAGGGCACTGGACAGAGAGGACAGACAATGGCAATTGCTAAACTGCCAGGGGCTCTTGGCAACAGCCAAGTTTGTTTCCACTTTATTAATTCCTTTCATGAGGGCTAAGCCAGGGCTGGGATCCTGAGCAACATATCTCCTAGGAGAAGCTCCAGACAAGACGTCTGGGCCTGTGCAGCCCCACAGCCGCACTCCCATGTGTCCCTACCAATGCTTATGGACAGGACTATTTCATCTGACCCATGCTGGTATTCCCTGGTCATGAATCCTTGTGATTCCTAGGGGTGCAGTTCCAAATGTCTACCCCAGACCCTTCTGACTATAGCCAAGAGTGAGTCTGCCTTTTCTGGTGAACATCAGCTAGACCTGCTCTGAACTATACACATGCAGGGAAGTCTTCTCCTGGTCTGTGTAGGGCATCCCCCCACAGCGTGGGACCGAATTCTCTTCCTCCAAAGATACCTGGGTAGAGAATGGTAAGAATAACATTTTTATAGACAACCCCCTACCCCAAGCAAAAAATTAATTTCTTGTCCTCCTCATTATTACAACTTTTTTTTTTTTCCCTGTATTGGAGATTGAACACAGGGGCACTCTACTCCCAAGCTAACCCTCAGATTTATTAATTTATTTAGGTACCAGGGATTGAACTCAGTAGCACTCGACCACTGAGCCGCATCCCCAGCCCTGTTTTGTATTTTATTTAGAGACAGGGTCTCCCTGATCTGCTTAGTGCCTTGCTGTTGCCGAGGCTGGCTTTGAGCTTCGCCATGCCTCCTGTCTCGGCCTCCAGAGCGGCGGGGATTACAGGTGTGCGCCACCATGCCTGGTCAGTGTCCATTTGAAGAAGCTCAGGACTGGTCATCATTTCTGACTGTCCATTTCACTGCCTGACTCTGAGCGAATAAATATTCTTTCCGGGCCTTAGTCTCCTTCTAGGCTGGATGATGAAAGCCAATGGGATCACTTTAGGAGCACAATTTTCTCCCTCATAAATATACAGAAAGATATAAGAAGCTTCAGAAATTAACCGGAACTCAGCCACATGGTGTGTAGTCCCAGCTACTCCTCTGAGATTCTGAGGAGGGAGAATTACTTGAGCAGGAGTTTGAAACTAGCTTGGGCAACATAATGAGACACCTCCCTCTACTTTGCTGTCTAAAAGGGAATTAATTCTTGATGTAAGGAGGTAACAGTATTAGCTATAATGCCCAATATATTTGAGCTAGCTTCTGGAACTAATTTTTAAAATTTTATTTATTTATTTTTTTTAATACCTGGTACTCCACTTAGAGCCTCATGCATGCTATACAAGCACTGTACCGTTGAGCTACATCCATAGCCTGAAACTATTTTTTTTTTAAGTGACAACTTTGTTTTCTTGCATTTTATCCCATAATAAACCCCCCCATAAAGAGAAGGGAGGTGGTGCAGGCCAGGGATAAGGAGGGCATAGTGGGAAAGAAATGATTGACAAAGTAGATAATAGAGAGTTGTTAGAGTGCTCTGAATTTCTTCAGGTCATGTTGATGACCTGGGACAATGGTCATGGGAATAAGAGGGCTCTTAAAATCTCAAGACTTACAAAGGACCTTAGAGGCCATCCAGTCTAGCTATTGAGATTGAAAAGAGAGAAAGTAAAAGGAACAGTCAGTTTTCCTGGAACATAAAGAGAGTTGTCACATATGTGTATTAAGGGGAGGGAAAAGGGGGATGTGGTGGAATTTTAAGGTTTTGTTTCTTTTGTTTCTTCATGGTTGTGATTTAGGGCGGAGGTGGCTCTCAGGACTTCAGGCCCCAAGAAAGGTTTATTGAGGGTGCATGGGTTTGCTTGGGCAGACTCTGTGGCCAGAATATCACTCTGAAAGAGGCCGCTCTGCTAATTATAGGGAAACAGACTTACCCTCACCTAGTCTTTCTTTCATCTGAATGCATTCCTCTGGTCCCTGCTCCTGGTCCTCTGTCTTACCAATGAGGAAGGAGCCCACCCTCTGAGAGCAGAAACTGTCAGGCATGGTTAAAATCCTTTCTCCCCCTTGTCTTTCTGCTTGCCTGCCCCACCCCCACAAGACCCTCTTTGCCTCACTAGGCCCAGGGGCTGGGAAACAGCCTGTCTCCCAGCCCTCAATGGCTCTTTTCACAGGAAAGAGCCATTGACAGTGCTGCTTGGAATGGGAATTGGGTGGAAAGAGAAAAGGAGGGAGAGAGAACTACATTAAGGTCTGGCCTTCACTGCAGAATGGAAGGGCATTCAGGTGGTGGCTGCAGACTTGGGCATCACAAAGGGGCAGCTGAGTGGGGATGGGCATTCTGCCCAAGTAAAATGGCCCAAAGTGAAGGAGGCAATCAGAGGAAGAAGTTCCTGAGAAGTGATTTTAGGGGAAAAAACAATCAAAAGGATAAATAGAAGTTGTCTACTTTTCCAAAGAACAAAAGAAAGGACAGTCATTTTGATTATGAAGATTTTGCTACAGGAGATGATTTTGAAAAACAGTTTAAACAAGTAATCAGGGAACCTAAACTATAATCTTTTTTTTTTTAGGTACCGGGGATTGGACTCAGGGGCATTCGACCATTAAGCCACATTTATTGTTTTACTTAGAGACAGGGTCTCACTGAGTTGCTTAGCATCTCACCGTTGCTGAGGTTGGCTTTGAACTCACAATCCTCCTGCCTCAGCCTCCCGAGCTGCTAAGGCTAAGCTATAATCTTATAATCAATATTATTCTTATAAATAAAACTATTCTTATAAATAAAACTATTCTTATAAATAAAACATGAAGCTGTGGGTTCAACCCCCAGAATCATTCACACACGCAGAAAAGAAACTTCTTTGTTTTTTAAACCAACTTTCCTTTTCCCCCGAATCTATTCTTTTTCTACATGTAAAGTTAAAATTATATTCAAAGACTTTATATGAAGTATTTAGATACTCAGTATTCAAGCATGGCCCCAGAAATAGACATTAAACCTAGTTAACATTTTATTTTCCATGCAAACAGAGAGGAGCAATAGCCAAATTAATCCAAAATTCTTTCCAGAGATGAGCACATGCCTGTAATCCCAGTAACTCAGGAGGCTGAGGCAGGAGGATCATAAGTAAACAACTTAGGGAGACCCTGTCTCAAAAAAAAAAATAAAAATAAAATAAAATAAAAAGGATTGGAGATGTAGCTCCACAGCAAAGCTCCTCTACGTTCAATCCTCAATACCAAAATTCTTTCTAGATCAGTGCTGTCCAATGTTCTATATTTGGACTGGCCAATATGGTAGTTACTACACACATGTGCCTATCGAGCAATTGAAATATGGCAAGTGTGATAGAGAAACTGAATTTTTTTGCGTGTGAGTGTTGGGGATCGAACCCAGGGCCTTGTGCTTGCAAGGCAAGCACTCTACCAACTGAGCTATATTCCCAGCCTGAGAAACTAAAATTTTAATGGAATTTAAGTTAAAACTTAAATAAACATGTAGCTAATGGCTACCATATTGGATGGCTGAGGTTTTCTTTTTCTTCTTTTCTTTCTGTTGTGCTAGGGATTGAACCCAGGGCCTCACCCAGGCTAGGCAAGCACTTTACCAGTAAGCCACATCCCTAGCTCAAAACAGCTTGGTTCTGGATGTTTTAGCAGACATTTCATTTGCTTTTTCACAAGGGATTGCTTTCCATTTGGTTTTGGCCCATAGTGAGTTTATGTTCTCTGATCACATTCTGACAAGTTGCAAAATGAAACAGCCCAGAAGCATTCTGGTTGGCAAGGGCAACCAGCCTGTGATTTTAAACTGGCCGTGGGGACTTCCCATGGATACAATCAGGAACTGACAATATGTATGTTATGAGTAAGGACAAAATGAGGGCTTTAATCTAGCAGAGAAAAACCATGAAAATCTTTTTAAAAGTGTACTTCCTCTTGAACTTCAATTTCAAAACCTAAAGGGTGGGACTGCGGGTGTAGCTCAGTGACAGAGTGTTTGCCCGGCATGCTCAAGGCCCTGGGTTAGATTCCCAGTACCATTAAAAAACAAAATCAAAGTAAAATAATAAAAAGAGAGAGGACAGAGAGACAGAAAAAACACTGATGGCTAAGTTTACTTAACTCATGCCCTATGAGAGGCATTTCCATATGCTCCTTATATGAAATATTTTTTAAAAGTTTTAAAGAAATATTTTTACAATTTTATTTATTTTTGGATACTAGCAATTGTATCCATGGGTGCTTTACCACTAAGCTATATCCTCAGTCTTGTTTATTTTTTGAGACAGGGTCTTTATAAGTTGCTGAGGGTGGCCTTGAATTTGCACTCCTCCTGCCTCAACCTCCCAATTGCTAAAATCACAGTCATTTTTCCACTGCACCTGACCTCGTTGCTACTGTCTAAGCTAGAAAGTAGAGTGCCACTGTGCTTTACTTTTAAAAGTTGTTTCTTGGAAGAATTAAATCTTTTTTTTTTCCTCTTCACTTTTGAGTATCAGGAATTGAACCCAGGGCTTCATGCTTGCTAGGCAAATGCTTTACCACTGAACTACATCCCCAGCCCTTGGAGGAAGTAATCCGCCAGGACCTCTGTTTTATTTTGACCACTGCTTATCCTTGATAACCAAGAACTTGCATTAACCTCTCTATAGCCCTTTTTGCTATCCTTCCCAATCCCCCTTCCCTATCCCCTTGTTTCCCCCAACCCACCTTCCCTCCCCAACATGCTCTTCCTCCTCACCTGGATGTTCCTCTTGATGATGTCCCTGGTCAGTTGTACCTTGCCTGTACTGGGATCCACCCCAGCCAATGGCACCATCACCTCCCCAATGACGTCATCCCGAGAGAAGCGATCAAAGCTGAGGACGAGGAAATGTAGCACCAGGTCCTGCAACTGGCTGTAAGGAATTCCGTAGAAGGTGAAGGTCTCATCAAACACGGGGTCCAGGGTCTTCCGCAGCACTCTGGTCTTCACCCGATGCCGCTTGTCAGGAAGGATGGTCATTTTGATGTAGGGGTCAGAGCCCTGGGTCTGGTCATCCATCACTGGCAGCCCATGGGCCTCCTGGATTGTCACCACCAGGGCTTTTTTCGGGAAGTTATAGTCCACTGAGAAGGTGAGGGATCCTAGCATGACATCCTCCTCTGGAGATGATGGAGAGGTGGTTTTGCTCTCCCCAGGGGTCAGGCTTGTAATGGGGCTCCTCAGTTCTTCCCCATAGTCCATTTTGATGGGCAATTGGTCTATACAAGATCCAGAGGTGGGCCCCCTGGGATCCTTGTCTCGGCTCAGCAAGCCAGCCTCTGCTGCATCCACCAACAGGTTCCCGCGGCCACCTTCCCTCCCAGGGCCATCTTTGTCTCTCCGCACTTTGATGATTTTCTTCTTGTTGCTGAGGGTCTCTGGGTATATGCTGATGCCTTTGAGCATGTGAATAAACTTGTACGGTGGGGTCTTGTGCTTCTTCTCTGCCTGCTGATGGCAGCATGTCCAGACAAAGACAGTCACTGAAACACACACCACCAGTACAGAGGCCCCGATGAGGCCAGCCACCACTGGTGACACATCTGAAGGCAGAGACCAGAGATGCGTCAAGGCAGGTGGATTTCAACCCCTGTCCAGAGCCTCCCGCTCAGTGCCTCTGCTGGAGCCAAGCTAACCTGCAACCTATCCTTTGAAGGAGAAGATACTCATTTGGTCTTTGGAGCTTTTCCCTTCTCTTAGAGATGCCTTCACCCACCCTCTCCATCCAATTCATGCCTTTTCCTTTCTGCCAAACCTGGATGAGAAGTTTAGCTGTCTTTGAAGTGCCCCACCTGTCTCTCTGTTCTTTTCTTGATCTTCTCTCAGTAGTTACAGACTTGGTTTGATCATATTGATCTATGCTTCCCATAAAGCTGCTCTGTCTATATTCTAAGGTCACCTTTCTCCCTGGGGACCTGTTCACCTCAACTCTTATACAAGGGCATAAGCTGCAACTTTGGTTTTAGGAGGACATTCCATAGCACCCAGTATAGGGTTTGAAAACAGTGATCCGGTGTAGACTGCCAGGTTGTGGGGGAAGTTGTGGAATTAAATTTAGATGGTCTTGGTGGGGTGACCAAGGGCAATATAAGACTATGGATAGTTAAAAGAACTCTGGATCTGCATACTTTCAAAATATATTTCAAAATTTCAGCTCCAAGATATTTAAAGTATTTTAAATAGGAAGAAATAGGGACTATGGAAAATGTCACATCTTAATGTCTCCTTCTTAGCAAGACTTTTCCTGACTACCCTACTGATTTATTTATCATGGTGCTAGTGATGTATCCCAGGGCCTCTTGCATGCTGGGCAAGCACTCTACCACTGAGAGGCACCCCCAGTGTTGATTACCCTATTTAAAAAGTGCAACCTTCTCCACCTTCAACACCCGCACTTCTCGTCCTGTTTAATGTTTTCATATGCCTCGTCATTATCTCTCACATATTTGTACATGCATGCAAGAAAAATACACACATCTGTAAGAAAAATAAATATATACACCACCCATAATTTTACTATTTATTGTTTTATCTTCTCTAGAATGTGAGCCTCAAGAGGGTAGGACTTTCTGTCTGCTCTGTTCATTGCTGTATCCCCAGTGCTTAAAATACAGTGGGTATGTATGTGTTTGATGAACAAATAACTAATGAGAAACAGATCTTTTTAATCTTCACTTTTCCTCATTTTGTCTCTTTCCACAACTACTGGACCCTGCTTTAGATAATCAGGTTTGGGCTCCTCCCCTTATCTCAAGTTCACTGAAGGAAATTGGGTTTTGGCTTTTATAGCTCTAGAAAGGGCTAGTAGCTTTCACCTTACTTTTTAAAAAATATTTTTAGTTGTAGACAGACATAGTACCTTTATTTTGTTTGTTTATTTATTAATTTAATGTGGTGCTGAGGATTGGACCCAGGGCCTCATGCATGCTAGGCTCTACCACTGAGCTACAGCCCCAGCCCTCACCTTACTTTTTAAGGAAAGACTCAGGAGACAGGGAGAGCTAAGGAAATAAATGTGATTTCAGCATATTCCATATTTTTCCTGGAACATCCTTCTCCCAGGCGTCTGCATGGCTTATTGCTTCACTTACTGCAGGGCTCTGCTCAAACCCTACCTTATCAGAGAAGCATTTCCTGTCTGCCTCAAGTGAGAAAATATACCTATTACCCTCCTTAATTTTCGTCATAGTGTTTATTACCCTGACTTATGTTTGTCTGGCTTCCCTCACCAGATAAGTTTAATAACAGTGACATTGCCTGTTTTGTTCACTGCTCAGGTTCTAGAACCATGTGGTATATACTAATTGCTCAATGAACAACTGAGTTAGTTAATTTAAACTAACCTCCACAGATTAGAAAACGAGGATGAGGTCAGTATGATTACATATCAGGGATAAATATAAATTTCTACTTGGACTTAAAAACCTACCTATTGGCAATAACCTCACTTGATAAAGTTGGACAAAAATGACTTAGTAGTTTCGGTGAGCAGAGGCTTGGATTAAATTTAGGTTAAATCAACTTGTACCATAAGCATGAAATCCAGATCTCACAAGGGGTAGATATAATTTCATCTGCACTGGTCACAGCACATATAGAACATTCTGTATAGCAATGATAATAATAAAACTGCTGTTTTTTTTTTTTTTTTTGTGTGTGTGTGTGTGTGTGTGTGTGCACGCATTTATCATGTCCCTGCCAGGGATATGTCTGAATCAAAGAACTCATTGAATAGGATCATTAATATCTCTCCTTTTTAATTAAGAAATCTGGGAATTCAGAAATCTGTCTAAGGCTACATACTAAAAAATGGTACTAGATTTAAATTCTAGTCTGCCTGATACCATAGTCCATTCTCTACATCATGAATAATCACTATAGTAAAAAATTAGAAACTATATCAAATGAAAAATTGAAGCAACTAGAGCTGGGGTATCTAAGAATAATAATCATCTTTAATTAAAATTACGTTAGATATTTTGATGGAAGGATGCTGGATTTGATCCATTCAAGTACAGGGCCAGTACCAATGTGCACAGGTTATAGGAAGACACATTCAAAAAAAAATTTTTTTTGTAGTAGTAGATGGACAGCATGCCTTTATTTTGTTTCATTTTTATGTGGTGTTAAGGATCAAACCCAGTGCCTCACACATGCTAGGCAAACACTCTGCCTCTGAGCTGCAGCCCCAGCCCCAAAGACAGATTTTTGACTCAATGAAAAGAGTCAAATTATTATTAGAACTGCCTCACAACCAGGTGTGGTGACGCATGTCTGTAATCTCAGTGACTTGGGAGCCAGAGGCAGGAGGATAACAAGCTCAAGGCTAGCCTCAACAACTTAGGGAGACCCTGTCTCAAAATTAAAAAAGGGATGGAGATGTAACTTGGTGGTAAAGTATCCCTGTGCCCAATCCCAAGTACCAAAAACCAAATCAAGACAAAAACAAAGAACTGCCTCACAGTAACCTGGATGGCTTGATGAGAGCTATTCTCCAATAGAAAAATTTCAAACAAAGAAGTTGGATAATGATAATTCGGGCATGTTTGAAAAGGAATTTCTTTAACAGGAATTGGAATAGATGGCTCAGAAATTCTACCTCAACATTCCATGGCTCTACAAAAGTTGGGAACCAATAAGAAAAGAAGGGGTTACATTTTAAAATAATATATCTGAGGAGTAAAACAATTATTATTTTTCTTTGAGGTGTCTTACACATATTAAGCAAATGCTCTACCACTGAGCTACACCTCCAACCCCCAAAACCATCATTACCAAAATAAATTAATGTAACTATGTCTATGTCCATGGACACAGTTCTGTCTCAAATATGAAATGAAATATGCAGGTTTTAGGGGTTTTTCAAAAACTAGAGGCATCCTTAGTGGTAAGCTCCTTGAGGGCAAGCAGGAATAACACTTTGTCTCTGAATCCCTCAGAGTGTCTTATACATCTAATGGGAGATTAGTAAATATTTGAACAACTGATTAGATTCTCATTGTCAATCAGATCAGCCACAATCTGGAGTGGCTTTTCACTCCTCAATCAGGGGCTTTCCTACAAATTGCTTTCTACTGCTTAGTGAAACTCAACACTAATTGCCTGTAAAAAGAGAAAAGCTGACAACTACAAAGAAAGGTATATTTTTGAGAATGATTTGAAAGGGAAGACTAAAGGCCCAGATTGGAAAACATCTGTGCAATTCTTTTGGCACTAGCATAGATTTACTCTGGGATTGTGAAGGAACTAACTGCTGCTTAAATACATCCACTTTTTCAAGAAAATGGAGACAAGATGGCAAAGAGAGATGAAAGAGTCTCATAATTTAGGACAGAGAAGGAAAGAAGAGAAACAGGTGAACCCATCTACAGATTACCCAGGTGCTCTCCCTCATCCTGTTTCCTACCTTTGCCCTACTTTCTCTATTTCAGAATTTGTTAACTCCTGCCTCTGTCCTCAACACCCAAGGCAGTGAACGAGAAAAATCTGATATGTTGAAACTCAAAGCCTTCTGTCTTGCTTTACTCAAAAGCCTGGTGGGAAAGGAAGTTGGAATTAATGACTGAAGTGAGTGATTTAAAGTGGCTGTACATTGCAATGACCTGTGTTGCTTGCTCCTTTTGTCCTCCAAGGTCATGGATAATTTACTGTTGGCTTGGTGTGTTCACCTAATGCTCTGAGTGTTTTAAATGAAGTACTCAATGAGTTGTGAAGAAGCCAGAAGTCAGAAGCAGCAGTTCTCTATGGAGGAGACTCTGTAAGTGTCTAGAGAATTGCAAGACACATCTGGGCCAAATCCAACTACTCTAGCTACTTCATCTTTGAGAAGGCCTGATTTTTTTGGCAGTGGGGGGTGGTTTACTGGGGATTGAACTCAAAGCTGCTTTGTCACTAAAATACATTCTCAGCTCTTATTATTTATTTTTTAAATTTTAGGACAGAGTTCTGCTAAGTTGCTTAGGACCCCACTAAATTGATGAGATTGTCCTCAAATTTGGATCTGCCTGCTTCAGCTTCCTAGGTTGCTGGGATTACAGGCTAATGCCACACAACCAGCTCACACCAGCTTATTTACACCTTCTTTTCCTAAACATAGCCCTTCACTGTCTAGTTGGCCATAATATAGTAAAATGAGAATGAATTTGGGCATCAGACATTGATTCAATTCTAGCACTACCCTCACTAGTTCCTTTGACTTTAGCCAAGTTCCTTGAGCTTGTATGCTTATCTGTTATGTAATTATACCTACAACAGAAGGTACTTTTTAGGACGAAATAGAATGTTGTATGCAAATGGCTGAAATGTATTTTCCCCTTTTCTACTATTATTCCCTATAAAGGAAATAACTGTATTGTATTCTGCATCATCTACTTTTCAAGGACTCTGGAACTGCACTTAGAGAAAGGTATCTTTTGGAAAGAGGACATCAGGAGAAAAAGAGCAGGAAGAAATCATGGGTTGCTCATGTGATCACAAAAAGGGACTTCAGTTTTAGAAACTTAGGACTCAGGATAGAGATGCAGGAGGTGAAGGGGAAGAAAGAAATACCATCAAGATTCAGCCATGTGGAATAGATGGGAACAAGCAGTTAATGGGTGTGAAGATCTGTTCTTTGGCTATTTCCCCTAGTCTGATTGTTCTTCCTTATTTCCAGGGGCTGGAGCACATTAAGAGTCTGCTTATTTCCATATAGTTCTTACTGGGGAGTGAGAAAAGCCATTTTCTATCTGGCTCATGTGCCTACCCTAAATACTGAAATCTGATGCCTCAAACCTTCTGTCTGAGGGATAGAATCCCTAAGGGACAGCAAGGTTCTTAGTCTGGCAGCAACTCTAATTCGCTTCCCCCAATCTAAACTGTAGTAGAAGAGAGGAAGGAGCAGGGCAATTTAATTTATTTATTTGACCAGGAAGCACAGCATAAGAAGTTTGCTCTCCTAGTACGTTTTGGAGGAATTCCCAAAGAGGAAAAAACTTGCTTCTTAACCTTGTCTTTCTCTCTCATTTTCTCTATTTTCCACTCACTTTTTTGCCCCAGGAGTGTAAAACTGATCTTGAAGCTCACAGGGCTGGGTCCGGGACCAGCCGCTCCGAGATGACGTAATGCTTTCTCTGGTACACAAAGCGGCCTCCCCAGGGCTGGGCCTCTCTCGCCCCTCCCCCTCCGGCCTGGAACGCACCCCCGCCAGCACCAGCGCGGGTGAGTCCCCTTTTTGAAAAGCTAGCCCGGGGAAACAGGGAACAAAGGCCCCGAAAGGAGAGCCTAGGCGCTGCCAGGAGGCCCAGAAATAGACATCACGTCATCCCCCAGCCCAGCAGCGCCTAGCGCCATTTGGTAGCATCAGTTGGACCCCACCATTACGATGCAGAATGGAGCTTGCAGGGTTCACGTTTCCTCCCAGAACCAGCATCCAGCTGACCGGTTTAAGGAGTGGCTTCCTTTTTGCTCCCACCCCCGCACCCCTCTTCCCCAGAGGCCGCCGCCTCCCCTGGCTGCCAGCCATACAGCCCACAGTCTCCAAGCTGCCATCTTGATGCCCCATCCCCCTTGCCACTTCCCTCCCCCGCAGTCCTTAGAAGTGGGAGGGGGAGGTAGGGGCACCGCCCTGCGTGCCCCAAGGGGGAGGGCTCGGCCTACCCCACCTCTCCTCCCCCAGAAGGAGGGTTCACGTCCTCCGCACCGTCGCCGTTTCTCACCTCCAGCAGTGCTGACAGTGCACCACACAAGGTTTTAGCACCCTGGACTTCCCCGCCCTCGGTGTCGCTCTGGCCTCGCCAGCCCCTGCAGCCCACAGCTCAAGTTCAGGCGCCGTCCACTCCCCGCTACCCGCCACCAGAGGCCCGATCCTAGCAGGGTTGGCACTTTGAAAGCTCTGTCTGGGCTTCACTCCCAGCCCACTGCCGGGCCCTTTGGCTTTGCCACGGTTCTGACCACCTCCAGCTTAGTTTTCCCGACTCTACTTACCAAAGCTAGGTCGGATATTGGTGATCTCAGCCATGTCGTAATCAGAGGCTGTTGCTATAAATGCTCTCGTAATGGTCAGACAACTCTGGGAACCCCTGGTCAGTACCGAGGTCGCCGCTGTGGAGCTGTAGGTCAGGGGAGGGGGAAGGTATCTGGCGGACGTCCCCTGCGACGGTCCGATCCCTGGTTGCCAGCTGCGCCCTCCTCTTAAGATGCTCCAGGGATGCTCTGAGCTAAGGATGCAGGTGCAGTCAGACTGGTCCTGATGAGAGATAGGCTCCGCCTTTTTCCGAAAGGCCCTCGGTAGGAGACTCCGCCTCTGTCCGAAAGGTTCCGGAATGCAGGTCCCTCCCCTTTCCGGAAGACCTCCGACGGGAACCCCTCCCACCACCGAGTTTTCCTCAGCATGAGGTCCCGCCCACTGGCCGGCTGTGGGTGATTGAGGCGAAAGTCCCCAAACCAGAGAAAGAAGGGTAGGAAGGTCCAGCTGTATGTAATTCCAGCTACTTGGGAGGCTGAGGCAGAAGGATTTCAAGTTCAAGGCCAGTCTCGCGCAAGACTTTGTCTTGATATATATATAAAAAATAATAAATAAATGAAAAAGGGCTGGGATGCCAACTTAGTGGTAAAAAGCCGCTAGGTTCAATTCCCAGTACCCTGGGCTCTGGAGGCGGGGCAGGGAGAAAGTGTAGGTAGATTATTCTATGAGAGCCCATCGATTCTTTAGATCTGGTTCTCAGGGGTGTTTTATAGGAGCAGAATGTTGTGGGTTCAGGTTTTTGGAAAAATCCTATACTGCCTGGATTTCAGTATCTGATTGCCATTATTGTCTCACATTTCTGAGACCGCTGAAGGTAATTGTAGAAAACTCTAGAAACTCTGATTAAAGACCACACCTGGAGAGGAGGTGCAATAGTTCTGAAAATTTACAAAAATCATTGAACTCTTTATGGAAAACTGATGGATTTTTGTGGTTTATAAATTAAAAAAAAAAACCCACCATTTAAAAAAAATTATGAAAGTGCCTAAGTGTTGAATTAGTGTTAAAGTGCCTAATTAGTGTTGAATATTCTTCTTCTATGAGTGGTAACTGCTTAGGGTTGAATAGGAAAGGAGGAGTAGGAGCAGTAACCCAAAAGATCTGTGTATTTTGTAGGTCAAAAGGACACAAGGCAGAAACGGTGGAAAATACCTGTAATTCCAGCTACCCAAAGGTCGAGGCAGGAGGATTATAAATTGGAGGCCAGTCAGGGCAACTTCAGATCCCCAGATTTCTTGTCTTCCCCTCACTAAAAAAAAAAAAAAAAAAGAGAGAGAGAGAACGGAAGTGAAACTTCCAAACTTTTGGACACTTCCTTGCTAATTTATGAGACAATGTGATTCTCGTCAAACTACTGGCGATTATAGCCATGATTACATTAATTTCACCCTTTATTTTGCTCACCTGTAAAATGAGGGAGCGAAATACTTTTTTTGAGGGGGAAGGGGTATACCAGGGATTGAACCTAATGGTACTTAACCACTAAGCTACATACCCATCCCTTTTTATTTTGAAACAGGGTCTCCTAAATTGTTGAGGCTCGCTTTGAGCTTCTAATTCTCCTGCCTCAGCTTCCCGACCTGCTGGAATTACAGGAGTGCGCCACTACGCCTGTCGCATTTTCCTAGCTTGGTCATTCTGTCCTTCCAGAAAAGTGGAAAGAACCAGGCGTGTGGAGGCTGAGGCATGAGAATTGCAAGTTCAAAGCCAGCCTCTGCAATTAAGTGAGGCCCCCAAGGAATTCACGGAAACCGAAAAGGGGTGGGGATATGGATAAAGCTCAATAGTAAAGCGCCTCTGGGGTTCAAGCCCCAGTTCACACACATACACACACACACAAAAAGACCCTGGTCCTAGATGTCATTCATTCATTCAAAATACATGTATCGAATTATTGAATATTGACTATGCCCCCAGAAACTTTCCTTCATGAGTCACGCATTAGGAGATAAAGTTAGGATACCAGATGCCTGATTGCCCTTGATTTTCCTAGGGTGTACCTAGGCAAAATCACCTATTCAGCTAAGCCAGAACTTTGTCCTTTGCAAACTGGAAAATTAAATAATAATGTCCGTTGGCTCACAGTTTATTCTGAAGACCAAACTATCTAAGATGATGTAAGTGAAAGCATTTTAAAAATGAAGAGTATTATATAGATCTAAATAATTTGCTGTAATTTGAATCCAAATCGGCCTTTGTTTGTTTTGTCCTGCTGGTCCCAGTCCCCCACCCCTTACTGGGGATGGAATCCAGGGACGCTCTACCACTGAGCTACTTTCCCAGCCTTTTTATTTCTTATTTTGATTCAGGGTCTCGCCAAATTGCCATGCTGGCCTCGAACTTGCGACCCTCCTGCCTCAACCTCCCGGTGCTGAGGTGTGTGTTATTGCGCCCCAATCAGCCTTAGTTTTATTTAGGAATCTGGGCCCCCTTCCCCCCAGGAATTGTATCCAAGGGCGCTTTACCACCCTCAGCCCTATTTTATATTTTATTTATTTTACTGAGTTGCTTAGAGCCTCCCTTTTGCAGAGGCTGGCTTTGAACTCGCGATTCTCCTGCTTCATGAGTCGCTGGGATTACAGACTGGCGCGGCGCCGGCAGGAACTAGTATTGTTTATAATCTAGATCCCTCTTTCTGAAGTTTTAGGTCTTGGTTTCTTCCTGTGTCCCGGAAGTTTCGTAGGGATGTAGGGATGTTTTGAATCTCAATCCCCAGTTTTGAGCAAGATAGTTTCATCGATAGAAAAAGCGAAGTCATGCCTTTAATTTTTTTTGCCAGTAACCGACGTACTAGCGCTGGCTTCATTTGACCCTGAAGAGGATGGCGCCTAGCATATTGCGCATGCTCCTTGACTTTCTTAGTCGCCGCCCACCGCGACTCGGGGGCGCGCACGTCAGTCGCTGCCGTTGCCTGACTTCCGCTGGTGGAGGAGCTGAGTTTCCGCGGGATTAGGCCGGTTTGTGAGGGTACTGGGTAGTGCGCGGTGGGGCGGGAAGAGGCAGGTGGGGTCCCGGGCGCCTGTGAGTAGGGTGTCCAGGATGAGGGGCGTCGGGTGGGTAGGTGGGCGCCGGGTGCGCGACGGGAGTTAGGGGCGAGACGTTGTCTGGTTGGTAGTGGGACTTGGCCAGCGCTTGGCGCCGAGGCGAATAGCGCATTTCGGACCTCTTTTTGAAAAGCTTTCGCTGGAGGAGGCCGCGCCTCGGCTGCCTCTGGACTGGCATTCATTCATTCTGGGGTCGGACTCAGGCTCCCGAGGGAGTGGACTCTTGAGCTACTGCAGTGTGTGAGGTGCTTGGAGCCGACCCCTGCACGCTCCTGACTGAATAGTAGCAGCTTTTGCTTTTTCTAATTTCTTCCCTTTCTCTTCTGGCCCTCAGTAACTCATCTGTAAATGAAGGAGTCGTGTAAGTTACTCCCACGCCACTCCTTACTCCCTTACCACCCTCCCTCACAGGGACCAGACATCTTCCCGTTATTGAAGTTTGTCAAGATAAGAACATTGGCTGATTTGGGCGTTTCCACCGATCTAAAGAAACGGAATTAGGGAGGTTTAATACTAATCTTACAGGTCAAACTCTCAGAGGTAGTCCAGGCTTCCAGGCTTTCCCTATTAGGTGGGCATTCAGACTTCGGTTGAATATTGTCATTGATGGAGAATCCTCTGTTAACTCAAGGCAGCTTATTCTGTCTTGGACCTACTTATGAGAGTAAAGTATTCCTGGGTTGAACAATGCTGTTTCCACATAATGCTTAATCCAAGTGCTGCGCAGTCGTTCAAGCCCTCTTTCATTTATTCACTTACTCAGGGAATATATATTGAGTATTTCCAATATCCAAATACTACTGGATACTAGGGATGCCAGGTGAAGGAGTCATTTCTCTCAAGAATCTCATAGTTTTGGAGGAAGAAGACATAAAAGTAAAGATATAATTACAAAGGTAGTAAATACTATAAAAGCAGTTTGCAAATAGGTGCTCTAAGGATATAAAGGAAGGTGTGCTGCATTTAGGCTAGTTATTGTCCTTACAATATGACAACTAGAATTGAAGCCAAGAGTCCAGGAGTAACAATGGAGAGAACAGTAGAAATCTCTTCCTCCTTCCAAAAGAAATTTTGTGTTAATATAACTAAACACACTTTGCTTTTGCTTTTGGATTGTTTCTGTTAAGGATATACTTGTTTATGAATACATCAGAAGCAAACATTTATTAATCTTTCTTACCAGCTAATGATGTGGGTGCACTTTTTATTTCATTTTATAGCTGGAGAGACTAAACTTTAGGTTAATTTATTGATGCAAGATTACAAAGCTGGAGTGAAATTAACTTGAGAAACAAATCCAGTTAGAGTATGTATTTGCTTTCAGCATCATACTGTTCTACCTTCTTGATGATGGTAACAATAATAACACATTTATTAATCACCACCATTTAATTTTTTAAAAAAAATATTATGCTACCATTTAATATTTGTAACAATTCAGGTGAGAATAATTTTTTTGAACTTTTTTTTTTTTTTTAACAGTTGAGAAAAAAGAAGTTTACAGAGTTTTAATCATTTGGCCAAGGTAACATACTAATCAGTTGTAAAGTTGGAATTTGAACTCAGGCACTCTAATCATTGTTTCTCTTCTTCTACCTAATGGAATACTGTGCATTTTGTGTAAAGAATTGTATTTGTGATTGGATGTGAATAAAATGAAAAGATAATTGATAAAATGTTATTATCATTAATTAATATGAAGTTGATAAGAACTTTTTTATCCTTTTAGGATGGAATAAAAGTGGGACTTTTAAAATGATGCCGTGTAAGAAGAGAAGAACTACAGCAACAGAATCTCCACAGCATAAGGGCAACCCAGAGGAAGACAACTTAGATGTAGAGTCAGCTGTTAAACCAGAATCTAACCAGACTAAAGACTTGGGGTCTGTGTCAATATCCTGGGGTCCAAATCATGGCAGAGCAGTTGGCCTTGAAGTTCAATCTTTGCAGGATGCAGGAAATCAGCTTGGTGTGGAGGATTCATCTTTAAGTTCTAGGACACTCATCCAGGACACAAATTTGCCAATTTTGGAAGCTGTTGATGTGGCTATCTCTCAGGAAATCACCCTACCTTCCTTGGTGTCTTCCCATCCCCTTAATATATCCATTGGTAAAGGAAAACTCCAGGTCAGTGCCTCAAAGAGAGGGAAAAAAACTGTCCTCAGGCCTGGGTCAGT